CCGAGTTGCGTGGGCCTCCTGGGGCCTCCTGGGGCCTCCTGGGGACCTCCTGGGGCTTCCTCCTGGGCCTCCTGTGGCCTCCTGAACTCCACCTGGGGTTTCCTGAAGCCTCTTGGGGCTCCCAGGGGGGATATCTAACCTGTGGCCGCTTGGGCCCCTCAAAATACAGGGGGGGCCACAAGAGCAGGAAAAATCAACGAATCGACACCGGATGTGAATTACCTTGACACGTTCTGATAGGGGGCCTCCTGGGGCCTCCTGGGAGCCTCCTGGGAATCTCCTACGGACCCCTGGGGCCTGTCCTGGGCGTCCTGCGGCCTCCTGAAGCTCTCTGGGGCCTCCCCCTCCTCCTGCCTGCTCCCTCATGCACATCATCCGCCTCCTCCTTCTCCCTTCCATCTCCTCCTCCTCCTCCTCCTCCTCCTCGTCCACCTCCTCTTCATCCCGAACGGCATCTCGGAGCCTAGAGTTGCGAGGATGTCTCCAGCGTAACGGGCTGGACCACCTCGCGCGCGGCATCTCGAACTCCAGAGTTGCGACGATGTCTCGGGCGAAACGTGCTGCGAGGAAGTCTCAGGCGAAACGGGCCGGACCACCTCGAGCGCGACGTCTCAGAGCTCCGAGTTGCGGGGGCCTCCTGGTGCCTCCTGGGGCCTCCTGGAGCTTCCTCCTGGGCCTCCTGTGGCCTCGTGAACTCCACCTGGGGTTTCCTGAAGCCTCTTGGGGCTCCCAGGGGGGCCTCTCCAAATGGAGGGGGGGGCACAAGAGCAGGAAAAATCAACGAACCGACACCGGATGTGTATTAACTTGACACGTTCTGATAGGCGGCCTCCTGGGGCCTCCTGGGAGCCTCCTGGGAATCTCCTGGAGACCCCTGGGGCCTGTCCTGGGCGTCCTGCGGCCTCCTGGTGCCTCCTGGTGCCTCCTGGGGACCTCCTGGAGCTTCCTCCTGGGCCTCCTGTGGCCTCCTGAACTCCACCTGAGGTTTCCTGAAGCATCTTGGGGCTCCCAGGGGGGATATCTAACCTGTGGCCGCTTGGGCACCTCAAAATGGAGGGGGGCACAAGAGCAGGAAGAATCAACGAATCGACACCGGAAGTGAATTAACTTGACACGTTCTGATAGGGGGCCTCCTGGGGCCTCCTGGGAGCCTCCTGGGAATCTCATGGGGGCCCCTGGGGCCTGTCCTGGGCGTCCTGCGGCCTCCTGGACCTCTCTGGGGCCTCCTGAGGCTCGCAGGGTCCCATGGAGGATATGTAACATGTGGTCTTCTGGGCCCCCAGGCTGGACCACCTCTTGCGCAGCATCTGAGAGCTCAGAGTTGCGAGAATGTCTTGTGCGAAACAGGCCGGACCACCTTGCGCACGGGGCATCTCAGAGCTCAGAGTTGCAAGGATGTCTCAGGCGAGACGGGCCGGACCACCTCTCGCGCGGCATCTCCGAAGTCAGAGTTTCGAGGATGTCTCAGGCGAAACGGGCCGGACCACCTCGCGCAAGGCATCGCAGAGCTCAGAGTTTCGAGGATGTCTCAGGCGAAACGGCCCGTACCACCTCTCGCACGGCACCTCGGGGCTCAGAGTTTCGAGGATGTCTCAAGCGAAACGGCCCGGACCACCTCTCGCGCGGCGTCCCGGAGCGCAACTTTTCGAGGATGTCAGGCGAAACGGCCAATCCCGGCCAACTCAGAAACGAGAGTTGTGAGGATGTCTCAAGCGAAACGGCCAAAACCATAAAATTTGTGTGAGGATGTCTCTGCTCCGCCTTCCCTCGGCCGGAGTTAGTTTCTATCACCACAGCACCCCGTTCAGCAAGCTGTTTGGGGAATAAAAAAATAGTCCAAACATAATCTGGGGACTATTTTTCGCATATTGTTTGACCTTTTGGAGGTATTTTGGGGGTATTCTTTATTTTTCGTCGAAAATCCCCCTGTAGGGGGACACGCCCGACATCAAACTACCACAAATCAAACGACCACAAATCGGCAGCACGGGAACTTGCAACTGCCCAGATGTTAGGCGTACCGTCCCATCCGCTACCCCCCCACGCCGCGCAGGGCGCTGCAAATGTCACGGGGGCGGTGCGGCGCAGCAGGCGTCAAAACTGTTGAAGCCGTTTGCGCCCCAAGCGGCGGTAAAAACAGCTAAAGCAGTTTTGGCTGAAAGGATCGCGCGCATGGAGTGCGCGTGCCGCGCGATGCAACACAGCAAATTACATTGGACACTTCGGTCTGACACGCGTCCTTCGATCCAGCGAGGAGCTGTTCTGCTCTGGGGAGGTCCAGTTCTTCCTGTCACCCCCAGTGTGGCCTGCTCTGGCGCAGGTCCCCCTGTCAACCCTGGGGTGGAGATGGCCGCAGGCCGTATCACACGGGGTTAAGGCACCCATTTAGCCATATCATTTCAAGTCTTCCTCCAGCATCTCCAGCATCTCCTCCTCCCTCCCTCCTCCCTCCTCCCTCCTCCCTCCTCCCTCCTCCTCCTCCTCCTCCTCCTCCTCCTCC